ACGCACACAGGGCAAAACATAAGTCCCCGTTTTCGGACTACGTCCGAACGGGGACTAAAAATATGCAAGTAAAATTATGTTATTACAGCAGTGGTTTTGTTTGACGCGGCTAACTTTTCACCACAAGTTCCCTCTTTGTATCATAAATTAAAAAAATTGGGATTAAAATAGTAAAATGTTTTGAGTAAAAACAGAAAATTTACACAAATTTTCATTCCCAGGAATATTGAAGAATATAAGAAACAAGCGACCCTGTAATTGACTAGGGCAGAGGACAGCAATAATCATATTATTCGGGTATCTTCAAAATGTAACATGTGATCTGGAGAGGACATTGACCTGGGGTCTTGAGATGGAGGGGTGACCTCCTGACACATGCAATCAACATGTGATCTTGAAATGATCCGGCCTTGGAGATTGTGGGGAGGTGTTTTAGTTCCTCCCAGTCTCACTGTTCAGTATCACCAATATAAAAGCAGCAAAAGTGAAAACATTGAATTGACCTGTACTTGGGCATTTCTAAAAAAACACCAAATAAACAAACTTGAGAGGACCGGTCCATGTGTCTACATTATGTCATGAAATGAAATGAACAAATCTGACAGAACTATCCCAGGTAGGTGTGGTATGAATAGCAAAGGAAATCCAGTTGACGGTTTTGGAGAAGTCGTTTGAATGAAAAAAAGTTTATGTACAACGGACACACGAGAAGACAGTGCAGAATAATTTGGGCGAGAAAGTCTTCTTTTTTTTTTTAAATGTTTTTGTGCCAGGCGACAGTTCTGGACATTGAATGTCACTGTCTGAATGTCTCTCCTGACTTTTTTTTGTAAGTGATAGTGCTGACACACAGTGCATTTTACCACAGAAATCATTAATGTTTGGGACTACATGACAGGACCGTGTGACCATATCTCTATCAAATGGCAATTTTAATGCGCTATCCTGATGTCAACCAGGCTCGGTCGAACACAAGCACCTGCAGACCTCAAACAAGGTTCCCCCAAAGTCGCATTCGTTAGTGACAACCACTATGTTACCAGTGACCGGTAAGAGAAAGTCTGGTGGTGAAAAGCTTAAGCTAGTAGCAGGGAATGCAAGAAATGTATTTTCATCAATTTCACAAAACAGAAAATTGCAATGAAAACTCCACAGGGAAACCAGTGATGTTAAATGTTTTATTTGAAAATTTATCAACTATAGTTATGACAGAGTTAGACTTACTTATCAAAAAGTACTGTGTCACTTGAACTCAGTAGTTGTTGTAACAGTTTTTGTACTCCCATATCTCGTAATTTAGCTTGTCTCTCTAAAGCTCCTTCCTCTTCATTCCACACTAGGTTAGAAACACAGTATGTCGCTGCTATCTGCAGTTTAACATTGGCATGGATCTAAAAAACAAACATTGGGTTAGAAACTATAAGAAATCTAAATGTCAGTCAAAAAATCATTTTGTGAAATTATTTGACATATCATTTCTTAAAAAATTGATCGACAAAGATCCAAAAAATTACACATACTGTTTTAATCATAGACTATTATTGTCACTGAGTTATAGTATGCACACATAACAAAAACCGTTGCTGGAACACTCACCATGTAATTTGTAATTTTCTTGAGCACATCGTCGTTTGACATGATGAATTCCTTTGCACTGCAACCATCAGCAATATTAGCAACTATACACAGTGTCTGTAAAGACATCATTTGACATGATAAATGCATTGCTAGTACCATCACTACCCATGTCTTTTTCTCATTTGCACCAATTGTTGCTATGATAACTATTCTAATGCTCCTTACCTGTTCTTTGACTTCAACTGAGTGCTCACCTTCTAAAATGAGCACAACAGCCTGCATAATCTGTGTTCCATGTAAGCACATTATGTGGTCAATATGCTGCCATAAGAAAACAAATTTAAACAAAAGTCTGTAATATGTCTAAGTTGTAAATGCACACTGAATAACAATGAATATATCACATTCTTATAATTAATAGTTTATTGGAATACTGTAAATTTCATAAAGGCATGAATACTTGTTATGAAAAATATTTAGAATTAAACGTTTACCCTGGAAGACCCTCACGCTTCATTCAAATCTAAAGAACAACCTTTGATTGATTGGTAATGTCTGTTACTAACGAGTCTTTGCAGGTTTCCTTCAAAAAACCACATTCACGCCATTATGGAATTCATTGTTTAGCAATAAAAAATTGAACAACATGTATGTTATTAAAACAAAAATAGTTTAGATGATGGATGTTAATAAAAACAAATGAAAAAATAAATATATCTGAATAATTAAAATATTTAATAAAATGTCATATGCTCTTATTTCATTTCTGGATGGGTGCGACAATAAAATATGTTTTGTTGCTAACTGACTACTCATTAGTGGTTTGGATAAATAATAAATATTTATTGGTAAAGTTTCAAACCTGAGATATGTGAGGTCTTTACAATCTCCATATCAATATTTAGTGTTACAAATATTTAGTTACAAAGTGTAAAATGAACCATCGTGAATTCACTCATTTTTTAAAAATCCCCCTGTAAGAACACATATGAGCTACACCACAGGCTTACCCAGTTATGATGATGTTTGCAGTGTACTTACCGACTTTGTTGAGAGTAGATTCCTTAACAAGCCCAGTGTTTTCATCAACACATCAACGTTGGAATCAGACAGCAATTGAAAGATCTGCTCAGTTCCAAGGTTTGCTAAAATACTAGTTTTGATTTTCTGATCTGTCTGGAAGGACATGTTCTATGGATAAACAATAAACCATTATCTTCTTTTTATCTTACACACGAGTAAAAATGTTTGAAAACTGATTACACCAACATACATTTACTATCCCGGTGCAGAATACTGTAAAATGACTAATTTTCACTGGGTTTAAATTTCGCTGATTTACCATTTCAGGCATATTCAGTGGGTTTTAAATTCACGGTTTTATCATTTAGATAATGTGTTCTATGCTAAATTTTACATATTCACTGGGTTTTAATTTAGCGCATTTTCCAGTCAGCGAAATAAGCAAAATTAAAACACAGTGAATAATTAACCCCTTTACAGTATTATAGAAGTTAAGACTCAAATTATCTGAATTTATCAATCTCCCAGTCACATCGCACAAAACTCTTACAGAAGTTCAGTCAAATGTATGTTCTGGCATTGTTCTTGATTCTGTCACATCTCATACAATACCGGTACATTAAAAGCGGGAGAGTCATCACCTGCACATGCAGCAGACAGTCACAGTGTGTTGTTGATTACAAACAAATTTCTACCCATGAACCTAGTATAGATTTTTAGAGTGCATAGTCATTGTCTCTTGGAACTCAGATGACGACCCCTTCGCTTTAATAATAACATCATATTTATCACCAGAATTAAAATCTCAGATCAATCAAAAACAAATTAAGTTTCAGGTCAGTGCACCACTTCAAAAAGTGTGTGTCAATCTTTTTTTGGTCCCCTATTTTGACACTGCACAGCACCCACTGCTGACGAAATGATGCAACCTGCAAAATTTGAAAACTGATTTTTTGTTCATATTGCACGTTAAAAATGTGCACATCCTTTTTTTTAGAAGATTTTTTGGCAGTAGTTTAGATAAAAGCACAAATTTAATGACAATTTTAATAAACTGTAAATTGAATGTGACATAAAAAATGTTGTACATTTAAAATAAGACACATTCAAACACAGGGTTTTCTTAGACGACTGAATTCTATTGTTTATACTATAAGATGTACAAGTATTTATTTTTACAGTATTCAAAACTCATCCAGTACTAAATTATACTATAACCAATTTAGATCCACGTTTGCTTAGTTGACACAATGTGATGTTCCTCTGATACTTACCATCAAAGCCCATATTGCATTTAGTCGTAACGCTGGATCCTCCCTGCGAGCTAAGTCACACAGTAATTCCACAGCTCCTGACTCTAAGATTGGCTAAAAACAAAATCATGTATCAATAAATTAAAGTACCTGTACCTGTGTGAAAGTCATCATGTCATTTTAATATGTATACTGCGAGACATCATAGAACATTAATTACCTCCTTACTGGGTGAGAATTCTAACAATAAATTACAAAGCGTAGATGATGCTACTGTTAATATTTCATCTGATGCATTCTGTAAAAGCTGCAGGAAAACCATAATATTTTATATTCAAAGTAACTGTCATTTAGGAACAACAAAAGTTAATTAACCTTTTCACCACCAGTTCCCTGTTTTCATCATAAATTCACAAAATAGTCCCATTTATAGTCTGCATTTTCTTTCAGAATATTGGGACAAAAATAGCCAATTTTTTTTGAGTGAAAACTGAAAATTGACTAAAATTTTTAGTCTTTATTTTTCAGAAAAATTGAAGAATATAAGAAAAAATTGCTGAAAAATTTGGGTGAGAAAGTCTGGTGAAGAAAAGATTAAGGAGGTTTGAGGCAAATAATAAATTATGCTATGTTCATTATACTTTCTCATACCATCAGCAAAATTTGTTCAAGATACAAGAGTCTGAAATGCTATCCAGTCTGAAATTCTCATATTGTAGCAATAAAAATGGCCCTGTGTGACGCATTTTGTGTAATTTGATATTTATAGACGTGTGTATTATTTGTATGCCAATAGACGCTCACGAGAGGGCGTTAATAATGATCGAATTTACTGGAGCTCAAGGAGTCTTTGTCCACTATAAATGTGGGTCACAGGTCAATTTCAATTAGTCGTCTATTATCACCGAGTCATTCTGGACACATGGCTAGTCACCAACACCTTGCCACGTGGAGGTATGCAGTCGCTTCGTTACGAGTTCCCAAAGACAGATCGTTTCACATCAAGCCAAATTGAAGACTGTGTACAGTTTCACTATGTCATTCCACAGACGTTTGTAAGAACTGCATCATCTCTCTCTCTCTCTCAGCAAGATTTATAAGAACTCCCTGCCGTCCAGCAATCACGTCGCAATCGTTCAAGCCAAAGCCAGCCGAAGATTAGGCCATGTGTTGTTTGCGTCGAAAAGATTGACTTTTGAAACTAGGTATTTTAGTGTCCATAGCATTTTGTGACTCCAGGCGACCGTAAATGTATTTTCCTTGCGTTGTCTAATTTTGTGTGTCTTACCACACTGTTATTGTATTATGCTGAATTTATTGTTCATTTGAGTTCATGTCAGTTGATACCTCGTGAGCGCACTATATTTATTTACACGAATACAATAATAGAATTTGACAATATCCTGTGTTCGTGTCGTTTCTTGTTGCGAACCCCTTGTTTGGGTTTGGGTCAACGGAAAGATTCCAGTCTGTCCGTCATCCGACTTTAGATTCAAACTCGGCCGTAAAACCCTGTCGCGTGATTCGGTGCACATCATGTAGCAATATTTTGTTATGTAAATGATATGCCCCGTGGTAATGTTTTTATATCAAGTTAAAGGGGAACCTGCCAAACCCAGGGATTGCACCAAAGAATCATGAGACACTATTGTGTTATTGTTTACATTGTTAATTTATCTTTTGTTATGCATTGTAATTTTAATCCAGAAAGCAAATCTGTTGCAAGATTAGGCTTAAATGGAGATTCCTCTTTAAGGCTACAGTATTTTATTAGATCTAAAGATGATTCTCTGCTCATAATGGTGATATTACCTTCATAAGTGGCTTCCATACAGCATGGTCCTGAAAACTGGTTCTTAACTGCTGGACAGATCTTGAGAGACTATGTAGACATCTAACTGCAGCTATTCGTACTTTTATAGCCGAGTCCGACAGACCTGTTACTATATGGTCCATTAAATTCTCAGTCTCAATTATCTGTGGAAAATACAAATTGCAGTCCTTAAAAATCTTCATCTTTTCAGAAATGTCATATTTTTAATGTTTTACAGCTACCATATATTCGCTTTATTAGTAGCACAGGTGAATTACAGAGGTATTTATCTGGTCAAAGTATCGTTTGTTGTATTCCAATGTTAGCTTCTTCTACTGAAGATGCACTTCAGATAGAAGTAAATATGATAATTCTCTTACTATTTTCATCTGAAATAAGTGATTGCACATTAGGAGTTCATTCAATTACACAAACCTACAGCGTTTCTGTTTATTGACATTCTAGCCAAGTCTCTAGCAGTAATTCATTGCACCATCAATGATTAAGAAAGGATGTACTCAGGGCTATTAATTTGGTGAATGAATATCAAGAAATATTCAACTAAAGATTCCCTGTAACTGGCGATTTGAAAGTTAAAGTCAGAACTAATTTTTGAACAGAAAGTCATTCTTTATGACAAAGTCCTAATCCCGTTTTTGTGAATGTCAATTATGAACAATAAAAGATGTAAATAGATTGGACAGGTATTTAAGCATGTTAAAAATATTGTGTTACTTTAAATGTCACTTTAGCCAAGTTAAAGGTATAAAGTCCCAGCAACACTTCCTAGCAATAAGATCATTCTCATATCATACAAACCAAATTGCATAATCCATACATAAACCAGTTGGACATTTTGAATCAAATTACATATTTGGTCAAAGTTTGTCCAAGAAATAATTCAGAGACACAAGAAAATAAATCCAACATAGCCACCAGACAGTAATTCTGAATCTCAAAACAATGATATATGACAGTAATTCATCATGTATGATGTTCATATCAAATTTGAATGAAATCAGTGAAGTCATGCCTGAGAAACAATTGAGACCCTAAATTATTGATTTTCTAGGATTAAAATGGCTATCACTTGTTCAAAGAAACAAAAAAAATGAATATGCATATGTTCCTCATAACTTGCCTTTGTACCAATTTAAAAAAAAAAAAAAATCGGTCCAGGTATCTCTGATAAATGATATTGAACATTTATTAAAGGAAACAACCTAAAACATAATTCCTCATTTGCAACTATTTGCAATATATATTAGAATCAATATAATACACGAAAACAATTTGAATAATACCCATGGTTATAAATATACTCACTCTTTTTCTGATGTCCTCATCATTAGCACCAAGTGATGCATATGCTCTAAATGCAGCTTGTTTTAATTCACTGGAATACTGCATATCTTGGTTAAGCTGGAAGGAAGAATGAATGAATGAATGAATGAATGAATTAAATTTATTCCATCAGAAACATTAGATAAATATATATATTGAAAAGTAAATAGTTATTTTAAACTATAGGAGAAAATATGTACATACAAGATAGCGAAAACAATTAGCTTAATAGATGAATAAATGAATGAATCAAAAGATAAATGAACGATTGAACAAACGAGCAAACAAACAAATAAACTAATGGGCGAACAAACAAATGAACAAACAAACGAATGAATGAATGATGGTTCTAGGGAATGAGAAGTGCCCACTCCTACAGTAAGACTGAACAGCAGAGACATACACACCTTGTTCAAATCACCTGTGTTATTAGTGATTCCTGGGGGCGGCCAGCGGAAATAATCTGCCAGTGTCTTTACAAGATGATCAGATACACTTGCAATACGTTGTAACTCCACATCAGTCTCTATCAAATATGCTAATGTCTCTGCTCCTTCAACTCGTTCCTGGAACTTCTTTCCATTTTTGCACATTCTGACCAATGTGGGCAATGCCTAGATATACAATATGAATAAACAGTGTTAAGAAATTAAATGTCTTGCAGTACGCTGTATAGGCAGTTTTGTTTTGATCATCTCTAGATGTTGATTTGGTATACCAAGGTTACTTGTTACGTAATAGCGCAGGGAGTAGCAGCTAGCACATTGCCACATCTCAGAAAGCATTCTTAGTTTATTTTGAATGAGTTTATTATAGTTGCTAGACTGCACTGACATCCAGCATATATTATGTTTTTATGTACTTTGGGTTTGTTCATTGATACATCTCTATATTCTACAGATGAAACCCACCATCCTACACTCAAATGAACTTAGCAGGTAACATGTGGCAGTTTTCAATGGGTTAAACCCCACATATTACAGTTTGGTTGTATGATCTGTTTTTTTCTGCAGGATAGTTTTGTTGGTTCATATTTTAAATACCACGAATTGTTTGTATACTTTCTTTGGGGTGGACTATTAAATTATTATTTGTGGCTGAGTGATTAAGACACTCTAAATATCTATGTGCCTTACATGACATTCTTGTGTAAATGGTGTGAAAGTGGAGTAGAGTCAAAATGTCAGAATTGACAACGTTAGGGAGCCTGACTAATCATGACAATCTATTTTATTCTATTCTACCGTAACATATTACCTTGGTAACTATAATTGAATTCTGTGACTGAATGGCTCCAGCTCGACACAAGTAAGCAAGACTACAAACAAAACAGAAGTTAAATTAGTAACTATGGTTTACAACATAGTATTATAATTAACTACATGTTGTATCCCAAACAAGACTGATCTGACCACTCAATTGACTAATAGGTGTATGCCTAAACAAAATGGCTGCCAGGTAGCCATTTTGAACCAAATAAAAGAAACAAAAAGATATGCTTCAATTTATGCACCAAAATCTGTCGATTCATGACCAAGATCCAGTTCCAGAATTTCTAAAATGCTTGATTTTGATACATTTGTGCAGCACACACGAATGTCACTCTATTAAGTACCTATTCTCAGACAGCGTCTGAACAGTGACTAAAAAAAGTTTAGTGCCTCATACATTTTGGGAAAATTTTGTGTGATGTGAGCTTTCAGTAGTATAAGTGAATTTTGAGATATCATTGGCATAGACATACATATACATGTACATAGCCAGCTGCCAAGGAGCATGATTCAACCATACTTGCTTAATTAAGTAAATATGATTACTGTAGATGCGTGAATGAAAGGAACACCTAATTACCAACATCGTCAGCAAACTTGCAAATGAATCGTCTTTCATTTACACGTCCATGGTAATTGTCATAGATTGGTAAAGTTCTAACAGTGGTCAGATCACATTCATAATTTGTCATGCCCAGGATATGGCTGGGGACACCACAGTCAGATAATATTCAAACTTATTCAAAATTTCAATCATGATAGGCATGTTTGAATCAGTAGCATTATGAATTTTCCTGCAACTAAAATCTAGGCTAAACATAGTTAGATTTCATTGCCAGGTTATATAAACCAGATTTTGTCTGTTACCATTTTGTTTCAGTTTACTCTACCCTTTTGTTTGGACTTGTATTATATATTATTTATAAGTTGCAATGTTCAAAACTAAAGGAACACTTAGGTCCAAAGCCTAGAACTTTACAGAAGGGCTGATAAGTATAAGTGCATGACGGCACTGCAAGCCTGTTCTTTGAGTTTTCATTATTGTAAAATTATGAAAGCTAAAACTGCTCAATATGACAAACATTTATAGTGACAAATTTTTCTGTGGATCATCAAACCTACACATTACCTCAGAGTGCATTTTTTATTTTGTCTTCATATACATGTATTTTGCTTTAAGACCAACTACATTTAAGCGAGACCAGCAACTTTTCAACTTGTAAGCCCTGTAGACCATCGACCTTTTGACATTAGTGGCAAACACTTATAATAAGCGCACATGTAACTTACCATTTAGCGGCAGTGAGTTGCTTCATTTCATTCTGTTCTCTACCACATTGTTTTACCAACAACTGAGGAATAGTCTCACTGTTATAACTAGCTGTAAATAAACAATAAAACAAGTAATTGAGAAATATATCTTATTTTCTAAGTTTGAATATGAACCGTTACAGAATTTCAGAGATATGGCTCCAAAACTGCATTCCCTAAAACAAAACAACCACCAATCGTTTGAGTCTGATCTGACAAAACAACATACTGTAGACTACTTTATTTTCTCTTGGAATTTATTTTCGCTGGAGGGATGATTCCATGAAAATATAATCCAGCGAATATACTTTTTTTCCTATATTTCTAATCAAACTGATCAAAAATCAGTAAAAATAAATTCCATACAAAACGCCCAAAAAGCCTTTTCAGCGAAAATTAATTCCAGCGAAAATAAAGTATTCCACAGTACTGTAAAATACTTTATTTTCACTGCAATTAATTTTCACTGAAAAGACTTTTTAGGTGTTTTGTATGGAATTTATTTTCACTGATTTTTGGCGAGTTGAATGTAAAAGATAGGAAAAAGGTATATTCGCTGGATTTTATTTTCACTGAATCATTACTTCAGCGAAAATATCAAAAATTAATTCCAAGCGAAAATAAAGTATTTTACAGTACATAAATGTCAGATGAAGTTAAATGTACACACCAAGTTTTAACGAATAAATTTGATAAACTTAACATTAAAACAATCGCAATTAGGCCATCTTGAATCGAATAACCAAATGAATAAATATGCACATGTGCGACATGATGTATTATATATATAAAGTTTGAACATGATTGTTAGAGATACAAAATGCATAGCTTTGAAACTGCAGCATTTTGAATTCAATTTGAAAAATAAAATGACTTGCATCCATAATGTCTGATGTTTGTACCAAGGTTGTACAAAATCCGTTCATACACAACTGAGATCTGATTCCAGAATGGCAGGTATGCTTGACTTTATTGAATTTTTAACATTAAAATGGTCAGCCATCTTAAATTGAATTGTTCAATGAATACATGTGCATATGTGTGATAAAAAAAAATCATATGAACACTAATATAGCCACACTCAGTGTGCGAAATGTATAACATGTATATAAACAAGATTGTTTATATAATGAATATATAAAATTTGAACATCATTCGAAGCATGTCAGAGATATGGCTCTAGAACCGCATTCATTGAAACAAAATGGCCACCATTCAGCCATTTTGAATCCAATCTAAAAAACCAAATGATATGCACCAAGGACCAATAATGTCTAGTGTATGTATCAAGTTTCAACCATATTCATTAATAAAAAAATCGAGATCTTGTTCCGGAATGCCAGAAATGATTTTTAGCACTAAAAAATGGCCACCACTTGGCTATTTTAAATCGGATAGTCAAACCAATATATTTGTACATCAATAAAATGATTTATAATGAATAGTTAAAATTTTAACATAATCAGTCAAAGCATGTCAGAGATATGGCACTAGAACCATATTCATTTAAACAAAATGTACATTAAAACAAAATGGTCAGCCATTTTGAATATGATCAAAAAAACAAAATGACGTACCAAGTTTGAACACAATCCATCTGTAAACAGCCGAGACATGCTTGATTATGATTTTTCAGTACAAAAATGGTTACCATTCAACCATCTTGAATCAGATTGTGAAACAAATTGATGTGAATATGTATAATATTATGTGTGATGTAAGTTTGAATGTAATCGGTCCAGGCATGTGAAGAAGGTAGCGAGAGTGATTCATCTGCATAGATCCACAAGAATGCCATCTACTTACTCATCAGGGTACTAAGCTGAACCAGTTTATTGGAAGAGCATACAGGACAGTGTCGTGTCATGGTACAAGTCTCCTGTTATGTCCCATCTTTTACCAAATGTTTAATTTTATATATTATTTATACAGTGTATTACATAATGAAAATTATACATACCAGCTGCTATTGCCATAGCAACTTGTTCATTTTGATAGCACATCATAGCATAGCACTGTAGTGTCGGTAACTGTACCTGGCAACAAAATATTGAAACAACACTAGTTATCACTCACGACATCCTGGTACTAAACATGAGTTATCACTCACGACATCCTGGTACTAAACATGAGTTATCACTCAC